AGGAACAGGACGGATCAAGGAAGGCTTTCTTCCCTGGCAGTGATCACCATTGAGACAGAGACTTTTAAAACTGAAGGAAGATAAGGAGGACTTCGCAAAGTGACGGATGTTTTTGTGCAGAAGGAGCGACGCATGAACTTCATTTATAAGTAAAGGTAAGACAGTAATAACATTTAATTTGTTTTGTTTTTTAAGGAAATGTGTGTTTTGTGAGCTACAGTTTGTATGTGTAAGGATGAAGAAGTGAAACATAACCTGTAAACTGCTGTCAATCTATGCATCTATTTGCAAATCTGATTCTGATGACGTCAGTGCCTCACCAGCTATGAACCTCACCGCAGGTCACTGGTTGTGAACTTTGGCTTCATTCAGCTCTCTTTCTGGACAGGAATTAAGCTTTTCTGTTTGCTGCTCATTTATAACACACCTGACATGTTTCTGGGCAGTAGGTGGCCCCACTTCAAAATTTCTTTAGAAAATTTTCTAGAATCTTGAGACATTATATTAAGCCCCTTCTAGTGTACACATTCAAGACTTTTTTGATATCATGTATGGTTTGGCTGTGCAGCTTTTAAGATGAGTTTGTTTCTGTCATTTTACTGCCAAATGATTCTACCCTACAAAATCATCAGATGATTCAATTGTTTCCTGCAGTTTGAAGTTTCTGATGACTTCCTATCACATTTTCATATGTTCTTCAGGTAATTTCAGCTTTTTTCATTCAACAGAAGCATTCTCACTTGCTGTTTCTACGAAACAGCTTTTTCTAGTTTGTTTTGTTATTTCCCTTTGCTGCCAGTTATTCCAGTAGGTTCTGTTGGCTGAGCGTACGTGCTGACTATACCAGAGTAGTACCTGTCAGGGACAAATTAGCTATAGTATTATCAGCAGCAGCCACTCCCTGTTGTAGATGAGGAAACCCATCAGGTCACGCCTCAGTGACGCAGGTGCAGAGACAAAGAGTGCAGGTGTGTCACAGTTCAGAGATCACACAGGAAAAGGTTTGATTCAGGAAGAGAGGAAAAAATGTGTGATGCTGACATTAAACCATCCAGCAGAGATTAGTGGCTGCTGACAGAAGGCATCAAGTCAAACAGGAACTTTTCCCTGACAGCAGAAGCTCTCAGTGTATCTTCAACCAGATAAACAGGAAGTTCTGCAGAGCAGGAACAGACAGAACCAGAGCAACAAAAACTTCATCACAGATGATGGAAGATAAACACAGGGACCTCAGCGTAACCAGCAGATCCAACAAGCTCAAATTAACACCTTTCAAGTGTCTATATGGCTCCACACCAGCAAATGTTCATTTGACTCTTTTTGGAGAGTTGGCATTGTAACTCTTATTTAGTGTTAAATAATGAATCTTTCTGGAGTTTATAAATTTAACACTTAATTACACCAACTAGGTATTAAAATTGGAATATTGACACTCTCACTGAATGTTTTCCTAACTACATAGGAGTTATTCTCTGAATACAAAAGATTTTACTTTTCTGAAAATATAAAAATCCCTTTAGAAAAATTAGTAAATAAAGAAGCAATATTTGGTTTTTTTTTTTTAGGAAAATATTAATTCCAAAAGTGCATCACACTTTGCCAATTTCCACTTCAATATTTTGTAACTAAATTTAAACTAAAAATATTTCCATGCACTGTAGAGGAGGTTAATTTCTCCAATTAAACCAACGTTTGCTGCATTGATTTTTAAGGGAGACAGTCTTCTGATAGATGGAGATTCACGCAGCTCCATGTGTTTGCGATAACATTTCTAATCAAACTATCAACCAGTAAGACCAGTTTACTATCAACCAGTAACCACCAGTTTACTATCAACCAGTAACCACCAGTTTACTATCAACCAGTAACCACCAGTTTACTATCAAGCAGTAACACCAGTTAACGAGCGTTTTCCAGCGCAGACTGGTTTCCACAGCAGCCAGTAGAAATTATTCCAACTGGTTCCAGCGCAGCGCAGCTCCTCCCAGTATAGAGCAAGAGGTTTAAACTGGACTCACCTGGATCAGGACGGAACCAGTCCAGACCGAACCTCCGAACAAACCTCCTCTGGTGCTTTGAACTCAACGCTTCGTCAGTTTTGTTGAGTTTAAGTTTCGTTTCGGTCTTTTGACGGCACGCGCACAATCTCCTTGGAAACGGGGAGATTGTCCCGGAAGAAGCGCTCCGAGTGATGCCGGCTATGGCAAGCGGTTATAACATTTATTCAAACAATCAAATCAAATATTATTTATATTTTATTCCAATAATACAGTCAAAATATTCCAATATATTTATGTTATATTCGTGTCCTCATCTGACGCTTAATGAAATAATGTGTTAATAACTTTATTCATTATTTAGTTTGTAATAGAAACACATCAATCACCCAATCAACGTTTAACCTTTGTACTGAACAGTAACTGCTCTTCCTGCAGTTCAGATCAGCTGTTGGTCAATAAATCAGTAAAGAACAGAATTTGATATTTGAAGATCTGTTCAGGGGTTGAAGGAGCAGTTCCGCAGTCAGAGCTGAGGGGCTCTGAGCACCACACAGAGGAGAAATGATTTTAACAGACCATTTATTGATAGTTTAGTTTTATTCTGGCAGAATTCAGCTGCTGTTGGTCCATGAGCTAGCTTCTTATAGCTAACTGCTAAACAGTTGCTTGTATTTACTGTAAAAAAAAACAAACAAACAAAAAAGCTGTTACCAGAATATGTGAGATGAGGAATTGCTGCTAAAAACATATTAATACTAAACCTATCAGGGGCCGCAGTGGGGGCCACCAATAGGTTAATCAGCTGGAGGTCAGAAAAAAGTAACCTGTCACTGATAAATCAATACAGACATTTTTTACTCTTTTAAGTTGTGTTTCCTATGTAGAATTGTATGTTTTCACTTAATAAGATTTTGATTTCTAAAACAAGTTTTTATCTTTTCATTTCATGAAATCAATCCAAGAACCTGATTGATAGTGGTGAATAAACTTAAATAATAAAGTGTAGCCACTGGCAAAAAAAAAAAAAAACATGTACTGTAAGCCTTTAAATATGTACATAATAACCACTTTGCAACAATTCTTTGTTTGATAAAAGAGTCTTATATCATTGTTTTTTGGTTGTTTATTTTTAATGTTTAATCTAGGTGATTATTTACAATGTTATCTACATATTACACTATTATTTACATGTGTGTAAACTTGCTTTTCAAACTAAACTTATATTAGTCTATAGACTATAGACTGAGTACCAGGAAAAGAAAAAAGAAAGTAGTAAAAAATCAGAGCAACAAGTGAATTTAACCAGTAAAAAAAAAACGGACCGGGGGATGATGGGAGGAAGAAAGGGAGAGCGGGAAAAAAGGGAAGCGGATGGAGGACGCCGATGGAGGCCTGAGCTGAGGAGAGATAACGAGTTTGGAGAACACATCGAACTGTTCATGGATGTTTTTTCAAGAGTCGACTCACTCAACCCTCCTAATCTATGAGCTCTGAGGTGTGCTGAGACGAGAAACCGAGATGTGATCTGCATCATCAAGCCACATCCATCCATCATCAATCCATCATCAATCCACCCATCACCCATCCATCATCTATTCATAATACATCCAACCATCACTCATTCATCATCCATCCATCCAGCTTCTATTCATCCATCCATCCATCATTCACTCATCCATCCATCCATCCATCATTCAGTTTCAATTCAGTTTATTTATATAGTGCCAATTCAAAACAGATATCATCTCAAGGCACAGAACAAGGCTCAGTCTGAGCCGCCACTTATCATTAGCACTCCTCTATCCATGATTGTATCTGAGGTAGTCATGGAATCTGAATCGGGTTTAGACTGCTTTGATCCAGTTGAACTTTCAGAAATAGCAAAATTATTGTCTTCATCTAAGCCTTCAACTTGTATGTTAGATCCAGTTCCAACCAGGTTATTTAAGGAGGTATTCCCTTTGATCCCCTCCTCCATTTGGCTTCCTTCACACCCCTCTCAAACCACTTGTCTTCTTTGTCCAAAATGTTAACATTCTGCTCCTCCAAAGAATGTCATTTATCCATAAGGTGTAGATGTACAGCAGAGTCTTGTCCAGAGGAGGGCGCTCTTCTGTGTTGGGCCATGCGTCTGTGGAGAGGTTGTTTGGTTTCTCCAATATAAAGATCAGAGCATTCCTTACGGCTTTAAACTGCAGACACCACTCCGCTCAGATTGGGTCCGGGGGTTTTATGTTTAGGATGCACTAGTCTCTGTTTAAGGGTCTGTTTGGTTTGTAATATACTGGGATTTTTTGTTTGGAGAAAATCCTCCTGAGTTTTTCAGGGACTCCAGCAACATATGGGATAGAGATGTTTTTGTGTTTAATCTTCTCACCGTTATGTTCTGCTGCGTGTCTTTTGGATTTCCTTGCTGATTTGATAAACACCCAGTTTGGGAAACCACAGGTTTGGAGAGCATCATCTGTTTCTGTTCTTTGTGCCTCTGTTTTAGTAGGGACATGCTCAGCCCACTGTTGAAAGGTTCTGATGACTGAGAGTAAGGGTCTTGCTCAGGGACCCAGAGTGGCGGTCTGTGGCAGTGGGGCTTGAACTCAGAATCAACAATGCCCTAACTATGAGGCCACGTTTGTCTCCCACCCCATGCATGAAGCTGGTGCTGAACTGGAGAGCTCCTTCAGTGACACACTGCTGCACCTTAAATGCACCAGGGGTGTTATCATAGATCCTTCCTCCCAGCAGGTCGAAGACTCTAGAACCACCACTGTTCCCAACAACCTCAATCAGGTCGTTATTATCAGTTCTTATATTCATGCTGATGTAGCAGGAAGAAGCCTGCCCCAATATTCAGAACACCTGGCCCCCTAATTACCTCATGATTGCTGGCGAGTATAAAGGGGAAACTCTCACCTGGTTGCTTATGCTGGCATTTGGTCACACGCCATGGGGAAGGTCACTTGGAAAGCATGCAGGTCTTAAGCTCTAACATCAGTAAGTAATGTTTCTCCTTCTGCATAAGACCTACAAATTTAGTGTTTGATTTGACTTGTTTAAATCTAGAAACCACTGGAAGTCTGCTGCTTTGTACCGGGGTGTGGCTGTAATTCACCCTCCCCAGTGCAGTTGTCACATAAAAAGGGTATGTATTGTTTTATTGCACCCACACAGCCCCATAACGCAAAAATAGCAATGTTCAGATTGGACTAACTTGATGAGATGAATGGAGTCTGGTGTGCTATTGCTTGGTTGGAAAGAAAACCTGCAGCCACATGGCCCTTTCTGCAACCAGTTTGACACCCCTGTTTTAGACTGTTCTATTAAAGCATTGGTGATTTTAATTGGTTATGTTGGAGTGTGATGGACAGCAGAGGCTCCATCCCTATTAATTGATATTTATTTATAGAACAGATAGTTTTTGTTTCATTTCTTTATTTCAGTTTTTGGTGTGTTAATTGGGGTTTACCTTCCTGGTGTGTCTCCTTAGAAGGGTGGAGCATACCATGTGAGCTAAGAAGGATAATACTCTAAAGTTAACTTATATTAAGTTTGATTTATTTTCTTGATTGACTTTAGGATTAGTTGTTTCTAAGTTGCATGCATGTAAANCGATTAAAGCCATAATAGGCGACGCAAAACTGCAAAGCAAAATTCCTCTGTTAGATGAGCCAATATCACAAGTAATGATATCTGCCTGGAATAAAGCAATACGTGGGTTAGAAAAGGGCTGTAAAGGTTTAAGATGATGCGATTATGACTTAGATTTTAACCAACCAACATGATGATAGGTTCAAGAAATAGATTTCAAAAGGCCTAACTAGTTACTATTCTTTTTTTCCATAAGGGGGCGCTCCAATGCTTTGATACCTTGAAAAGTAAATATCATTTATGTGCAGATGAGTTTTTCAGATATCTACAGGTCAGAAATTATTTTTATCAGGATCTAAAGCACATTTACATAGTTCGAGATTTGTGGAAACATTTATATTAACTAAATCAAAAACAGGCAAAAATGTTTGTAGGTTGTACAACGCTGCCCTGCAGTGTAAGAACAGCTCTGCTTATGTTAAAGTGGGAAAAAGAAAGTGGCCTGACGACTCCAGAGAACGACTGGGAACACATCTGTAAGATACCATGGACGAGATCAAAGGTTTGGCCTGAATTTAGCTCGAAAAGCATTATAGGATTTTTCATAACTGCAGAGCAAAAAAGATATGAGGGAAATGGCGACACCTGCTGGAGATGTGGCAGGGATGCTGCCAATCATTCCCATATTCTCTAGAGATGTCAAACCATCCAGCAATATTGGTCTCAAATTCATCAACATTTACATTTTCACATTTAAATTCCCTTTAACCTTTGAATGCATATTTCTGTGTAATATAACAGTCGACAAACTGAAATATAATGATCAGAACTTATACATTTTGCTGGCAGAAAGCAAAAAGGCCCTCACAAGAAAATGGCTAAAGCGGGAAAGAGTCTATCTCAGATCCCGGGTCTATCTCAGATCCAGGGTCTATCTCAGATCCAGGGTTTATCTCAGATCTCAGGTCTATCTCAGTAGGTAATTCAGCAGCACATTCATGGGTCTGACAGGAAGAGAGACTTTGGGGGAAAATACCTGGCATAAAAATTACATTTAAAATTGAATGATTTCAGGAGAATTGAAGATTTGGAACCAATTCTCATTGATTCTTCATGCACCGGCCCATTTTCAGAACTCAGCATGGGATGAAGAACCATGATGGAACGGTAGCTCTCTGCTAACCAGTAACATCCCTGCTTCAACTTCAGTCCCATGGACCCATTTTTGGGGTCAGAACCAGGTCAGAGGTTGGATCATTATCAACTGGATCCCCATCCAGCCTCATTCTTCACTTTCAGATCCACTTTTACCAGAACCCGGTCTGGATCGGATCTGGGACCAAGTAATAAGACCCACAGCAGGTGTTGGACTAATATATCTGCTCGTTAAGAACCTGAAGATCTAAGACAGAACACTGGGTTTCAGTCTGAGCCACGGGGCCCGAGGGGCAGGTCCAGGACTCACCTCTGGTGTAACAGGCCTGTTGGACCTTCCCGGTGCACTGCAGAAGCATGTTGTTGACCATCAGGAA